GGATATATTTCGGCGATATTGGAAATAAAGTGTAATTTTTCCTTTTTGTATTTACGTTTGTAATTATGTTTGTTTATTTTTATTCACTTTCTACAATCGTACTGGTGATCTTGCAATGTCGCTCAATTAGCATAGATATGCGCCAAGTGTGAGGGTAGCTTAGCTTTTAGCCAAGAAAGAAACGTGATCAACGCATAGTGGGGCAGAGGCAACAAAATGCTTAACTTTCTAACATTTTATGATGAAAATTGATCCTTAATGGAAATCTTACAAAACGAAAATCAATGGCAGTAAATTTGAATGACATAGATTTAGTTGATAGGGGATCGATACCCTTCAAAGTAAGCCCGTATAGAGCAATCGAGTGATGAAGAATGATAAAATCTTTAACAAGAAAATTAATTTTGCTAAAATAGTAGCACGTCAGTTCACGTGACACGCGGCCTTCGATATGCAGGCTGCAATGACAAGCACAAGTTTATATAGAAATAAGATATCGGTTTTGTTATTTTATTACGAAAACAAAGAAATAATTGTGTACACGATGTAGTGTAGTGTAGGGTATTTAATGATCGGTCTTGCTCAGCAATCTGATGCTTTTATGATAAATGATGCAATGCAATATCGAGACAAACAAACATCGATTTAGATCGTTTACAAGATCTGTTATGTCAAAGACTATAAGTTTATCCTCGATCTTCCTTATCGAACTTTTGAAAAATACATGACAATAGAAGGAGAGATTGTTGTAATGAGAAATGTCTCTGCAAACGATGGTTAATACGATTACGGTGCTTTTAATTGATCTGTTAACCTCAACCCGAATCGCACAAGTTATGTTTTACAGTAGCACGAAATTAATTAATAAATTATTTATTTATTTATTATTCCGTATATTCTTCTTAGGATATTTTAATTGTTTTGGTTAAGCAAAAAAAAAAAAAAAAAAAAACGACCACTTGGCGTGCAGCATGAATTTCTTTGAGAAAATGGAAAAATATTTGAATTTTTTACTCCTTCTCTCTACCTATGTACGTATGTATATACACAATAAGCTAAAAAAACCACATTGTGTTGTACTTTAATCAAAATGATTTTCCTAAGTATGAGTATAGTGTAATATGTTATAATAATAAATGTTATTAACTGACATTAATGCTTCAATTTTCATTCTAACTATTGTATGTAAGTGACGCACACGTTCTAGTTAGGCATATGTGAGTGTATTAAACTTTTGGACACAAGTAATTGCTGGTTATTATTCTTTTAAATATTTATTAGGATTTGAAAAAGCATTTGGTCTCAATGTAAGGACACTTAACTATAGATGATATCATTTCAAAAGGTCACCTCTTCCTCAAATTATTATTATATTTAAGTTAAGTAAATGCATAAAATCTGCGTGAATGATTTACGTGAACGTACCTCGTCAATGCTTCTTATCACACAAAGAATTGCTTTGATGAGAAAAAAAATTTAAAAATTTTATTCATTATATAATAGATTAACAAAAATTTTCATGGCCTTTTTTTTTTGTTTTTTTTATTCACCCAAAATTCTAATTGTTAAACCATATATACCATGTATACGCCATTTGATGAGATAAACTCTTTCGAATTTTTGTGTGATAAACCCTATAGTATATAGTATAGTATATAGCACTTCGTCTAGCCTTTCAAAAGTACGCCTAACGTAGACCTAACGTAGAAAGGTGAATTTAAAGCAAAGGCAACTATATATATATATATACATATATATGTAGAGTCTATAAGGAGGAATTTTTGGGACTAATAGGACTAGAATCCTATATTTCGCTGAGCAGTGTAAGAATTTTTATAGTTCGCATCGCTTTCGTTGCATGTTCACGCTTCAGGAATGTATTCAAGTTATATTTAAAGTTTTACATAAATATGTTTACGTAAAGTTTTCGCGTAAGAGGTCAAGATATTCTGGTTTTAGATCGACTCACACAGACCGAATACCTTTAATGCTTGAATATCCATCGTCGAAATAGCATTCGACGAAAATATTTCTTCGTTAAGCTCAACACGAACAATAGTCGGAAATATCTTGTAAAATGTGTATGAGAGCGATTAGGTGGCTCTTCGCCATTCGCTTACACAATCATTGAAATATTATCTGAGGTAATGTACTCCCAGCTTAGGCTCAACATGAATATACATGAATTTTTGATTATGTTGTGAAATTTTTTTTTTTTAATTGGTGACAACTCATGTATAACGGATCGCGTAAAACCTAAGTTTAATTTCTATAGCAATAATCAATTCATTGATTGATTTATTATATGATTTTATTAACGATAGAGCAGACTTTAACGGCTTGAAAAACTTTTTGAAAATTTCATTATATACACATAAAGGTATATGAAGGGAATTTCCTACTTTTCAATGCTTAAATTTACGAATCGGCTCTCGTAGATATGACCGCGGCATTTGTAAATATATTTATTGCTCACACCTGAGCTGCTTTATCATAAGCG